AATAATAATAATAATTATTATTATTATTATTATTATACAGGGCTAAAAATGTCTTTGTTTTCTTGAGATATAAAAGAACAACCTTTGAACTATAAAAATATGAGGGATAAATAAAATAAATAAATATAAATATTATTATTATTGTTGTTGTTATTATTATTATTATTATTAAATTGGATATGGTCCGAAACTCTTTTATTCTTCAGTATAAGTCCAGTTAAAGTTTATCAGAATGGTTTCTATTCAAGCAAAAAAAAAAAAAAAGCGGCAGAATTCACAGAACCCCCTCTAACCAGTGAACAGTGTAATCCCTCAGTGTCAGCGGTGACTAAAGTCAGATCATGGAGGGAACAGATCATGGTTATAATACAGTACAGCTAAAAAAAAGTGACTCAAAATCAGCATCTTGTTATCAAACATAGATAAATGTATAGAAAATGTATAGATTATGCAGAAAAATTCAGGTTTTATTTGTCAAATCTGATGACAAATGAGATGTCTTTAATATATCAGATGTTTCTCCTAGAGCCAGACTATTTGATTTAAACATAAAATTAATCCCTCAGTGTCAGCGGTGACTAAAGTCAGATCATGTTGAGTTAGACCATGATTCCCCTCTGGCACCGTGATGTCCGCCACACTCCAAACAGACTTGTGAAAATCAGAGTGTCAGTATAACGGTTAAAAACCGTTATACTGCAGGGATTAACCAGAAACCCTGGACTCCAACTACACATCAAATCCCAAACAGCGGATTTGATGCTTTGGCAGCTAACTGAAAAAATACCCAGGAAATCTGGTCGACTGCATGTCAAGCTCTACAAGCAAACCAAAGCAATGCTGTGGAGGGATGGTGGAACCAGAAACACAGTCTCTTGTGTTTGCAATTATAATCATCTTTTCAAACACTATTCATAAATGTTTCTTGAAAGTTTTTCGATGCGACTGAGAGGAACTGACCAGGAGAGTTCTGAGGGGAGGGGACCGGAGACCCTCGAGGTGACTGACAGTAGCTGGGGTGCAGTAAGGCATGAGGTGGCACATACGACATCACTTCCTCTTCAAACAAGCTATAGAAAGAAAAAGAGACAAAGATTGTTAGTGTATGGAGGCAAACACATGTATCCTGAAAAAACAAAACAAAACAAAATTACTGAGATACATTTACCCAAGAAGCCAAATTTGCTTCATTAAACCACCTTGATCATATTTGCTAAATTAAATCCAATACTTGTTTCTTACTAATTTTGGGGTGCTGATTCCAAAAATTGTGTCTGTTTTGCAAGAGCATGCCTCACTTGCTCATGAAATATGTGCATTTTGTAGTATTTTTGCTTTTGATAACCATCTGTAGACATCTTGTATTGTCTCTTTATCACCAGACAAACTGCCACAAAAACACGAGTCCTGTCTTCCTCTGAGCAAGATTACAATTATTTGTTCAATTCTCAGCTCATTTTCCCATATATGCATGATTTTATATAACATGACTTTATATCTAATACTGATTTCAAGGTTAGAATTATGACCAGTGACAGAAGAAAATGCAAACATGACCCAGATGTTTTCTGCTACATCTGTGGGTTTCACTGCATCCAAACAGCAACAGATTTATTTTTGTTTTTGCTTATTTTGTAAAGTTCTTTGACATTAAATGGAGCATTTAAACACATTTCCCCACTCCTTTGCAGATTATAAGTTAAATCATACATTTTGAATAATTATTTTTCTCATTAAATCTTTTGACATGTGCCTGCTTTTTTATTTTGATAAATGCATTAAAGCTGAAACATACATAATTTGAAAAATTCTCATACATATGCTATGTAAAAACTATATGTGATGAAATTTTTAAATTGATATTAACATCATCAAATTAGGTCATATTAGGCATTTTTTGCAAATCAGTAGGAATTCGCTATTAGAGACTGCTAGATTTGATTTCAGAGAACGTATTGCAGTTTTGTTTTGAGCTTAAACCTTACTAAATGTATTATTTCATATTTTCTTACAGCCATGTTTTGCAGGGTAAAATTAGCAGAAATCACTGGAAAAGTACCTGAGCAAAATCACCAAGTCCGCGTCGCTGGAGAGGCGAGCTAAACCCGACGCTCCTTCATTACGAATAAACTGCACCTTCTCCCTGTAGATCAGAAAAGTCAACATTTTCATAATCAATAGCTCAGGACTGAGGTTTGTTTTGTAATATTTCGGAGTCTCACCTGAGTGAGTGATTCCTAATGAGCTCAGGCTGCCTTTCCTGAAGGATCTCAAATATGTTCGGCTGCCGCAAAAATGCCACGATTTTCTCATTATAGGCTATAAAGAGAGGAACAGAGCCATTGGTGAAATGTCAAACGAAGACTCTTCAAAAGTTATAACACCTTTGTGGCACCACATTTTCATAAAACGATGCATTATGAAGGATTTAACAAGATGAACACATCAACTTTCTGATGAAGCTTGGCTTGTAACGACTCACCAACAGGAACTAAATCTTGACACTGGTTGCGATTGGCTGTGAAGGTGTTTGAGGGGCGTGGCAGTACAGCGGGTCCAGCATGCCGAGGGTCATCGCCCACCTGTAGCACAAAAACAAAACCATTATGTACTTCACATCCACACAAGAAAAGACCAGCTTACTGCAGAAATACATTTTCCCATATATGCATGATTTTATATAACATGACTTTATATCTAATACTGATTTCAAGGTTAGAATTATGACCAGTGACAGAAGAAAATGCAAACATGACCCAGATGTTTTCTGCTACATCTGTGGGTTTCACTGCATCCAAACAGCAACAGATTTATTTTTGTTTTTGCTTATTTTGTAAAGTTCTTTGACATTAAATGGAGCATTTAAACACATTTCCCCACTCCTTTGCAGATTATAAGTTAAATCATACATTTTGAATAATTATTTTTCTCATTAAATCTTTTGACATGTGCCTGCTTTTTTATTTTGATAAATGCATTAAAGCTGAAACATACATAATTTGAAAAATTCTCATACATATGCTATGTAAAAACTATATGTGATGAAATTTTTTTATTGATATTAACATCATCAAATTAGGTCATATTAGGCATTTTTTGCAAATCAGTAGGAATTCGCTATTAGAGACTGCTAGATTTGATTTCAGAGAACGTATTGCAGTTTTGTTTTGAGCTTAAACCTTACTAAATGTATTATTTCATATTTTCTTACAGCCATGTTTTGCAGGGTAAAATTAGCAGAAATCACTGGAAAAGTACCTGAGCAAAATCACCAAGTCCGCGTCGCTGGAGAGGCGAGCTAAACCCGACGCTCCTTCATTACGAATAAACTGCACCTTCTCCCTGTAGATCAGAAAAGTCAACATTTTCATAATCAATAGCTCAGGACTGAGGTTTGTTTTGTAATATTTCGGAGTCTCACCTGAGTGAGTGATTCCTAATGAGCTCAGGCTGCCTTTCCTGAAGGATCTCATATGTAAAAACTATATGTGATGAAATTTTTAAATTGATATTAACATCATCAAATTAGGTCATATTAGGCATTTTTTGCAAATCAGTAGGAATTCGCTATTAGAGACTGTTAGATTTGATTTCAGAGAACGTATTGCAGTTTTGTTTTGAGCTTAAACCTTACTAAATGTATTATTTCATATTTTCTTACAGCCATGTTTTGCAGGGTAAAATTAGCAGAAATCACTGGAAAAGTACCTGAGCAAAATCACCAAGTCCGCGTCGCTGGAGAGGCGAGCTAAACCCGACGCTCCTTCATTACGAATAAACTGCACCTTCTCCCTGTAGATCAGAAAGGTCAACATTTTCATAATCAATAGCTCAGGACTGAGGTTTGTTTTGTAATATTTCGGAGTCTCACCTGAGTGAGTGATTCCTAATGAGCTCAGGCTGCCTTTCCTGAAGGATCTCAAATATGTTCGGCTGCCGCAAAAATGCCACGATTTTCTCATTATAGGCTATAAAGAGAGGAACAGAGCCATTGGTGAAATGTCAAACGAAGACTCTTCAAAAGTTATAACACCTTTGTGGCACCACATTTTTATAAAACGATGCATTATGAAGGATTTAACAAGATGAACACATCAACTTTCTGATGAAGCTTGGCTTGTAATGACTCACCAACAGGAACTAAATCTTGACACTGGTTGCGATTGGCTGTGAAGGTGTTTGAGGGGCGTGGCAGTACAGCGGGTCCAGCATGCCGAGGGTCATCGCCCACCTGTAGCACAAAAACAAAACCATTATGTACTTCACATCCACACAAGAAAAGACCAGCTTACTGCAGAAATACAGTATGTATCGAATCGCAGGAATAAACGCCTTTCCATTTGATATGTATATTTATATGTACATTAATTAAAAGTCAACTTACAATACACATTATAGAAAATCTTTATAGAAAATCATGTATATATACATATATATATATATATATATATATATATATATATCATAAAATAATGTTTTAAAAGATTAATGTGCACATTAATATTTATTTTATCTTTTTTTTAAGATTAAACATTAATTTATACATATATTAAAAAGTACAAAAATGATATATATTTATTTTTGTACTTTTTAATATACATGCATAAACACAATGCTTAATATGTTTATTAATATTACAGAAGATTTAAAATAATATTAATATGCAACAATAAATTGATATAAAATTACACACACACACACACATTATTATACACACATGCAAAATAGTAAAGCCTTCAAAGACAGATCCATATGTTAATTCATTAAGCTGCAACATTGTCGTTTTCGTGTAAATACTGATTTGCTAGGCTTCAGCTGCTTTTGCATAATTCACTGGATATTTGCTCCCTAGTGAGTGTACTTTAAAGATGAAAGCTTCATTAAGGGCCCTCTGACTAAAGATCTGACAGCTCTTTTGCTAAAGCTGAGTGGATTGTAAAACTTTCCTGGCCTTTATTCCCAAGGTGTTTATATGAGGAGGGGGACTTTTTTTAATTAAGTGGACTAATTTGCATTTTTATGTTATGAAGACACAGAGGATTTAAAGATTAGTGGAATAATATTTAGACCAATATTTTTACATGCATCCACATATGGCCCACTGACAAACACACACACACACACACACAGGGGACTGTGGGTGGACTGATGTGAAAATGACACAGTGCATGCTGGGACGCAGCGGAGGCCGACGCTATGAAATTAATCAGCATATCTAAAGAGGCCTGAGAGGGCGATCTGTTCTCCACACGGCCACGATGTGACAGAAGATCAGATTCCCTAATGAGAAACCTGCTGAGAATATTCTATGATGTAAAGATTCATGAGAAACTGCTACAACTAAAAATATATTCATTAGTATATCTGGCTACTGTCCCACGCTATTCTTAGCATTTTATTATTGGTTAAATAAAGGTTTGTTATGATCAACACTACTGTTCAAAAGTTTGAGGTCAGCAAGATTTAAGAATATTTTTTGAAAGAAGTCTCTTACGCTCACCAAGGCTAAATTTATTTGATTAAAAATACAGTACAAACAAATAATATTGGGAAATATTTTTACAATTTAAAATAAATGTTTTCTATTTTAATATATTTTAAAATATAATTTATTCCAATGATATACAGCTGAATTTTCAGCATTATTACTCCAGTCTACAGTGTGTCCCACGCTATTCTTAGCATTTTATTCAAGGTCAGCAAGATTTAAGAATATTTTTTTTAAGAAGTCTCTTACGCTCACCAAGGCTAAATTTATTTGATTAAAAATACAGTACAAACAAATAATATTGGGAAATATTTTTACAATTTAAAATAAATGTTTTCTATTTTAATATATTTTAAAATATAATTTATTCCAATGATATACAGCTGAATTTTCAGCATTATTACTCCAGTCTACAGTGTCACATGATCCTTTAGAAATCAGTCTATATTAGCAGCTCAAAAACATTCTTATTGTTATCAATGTTGAAAACAGTTGTGCTGCTTAATATTTTTGTAAAACCATGATGCATTTTTTCAGGATGTTTTTTTAAATAGTAAGTTCAACAACATTTATTTGGAATTAAATCAACAAGTTTATCTGAGATTTAATGCATTCATTTCCTAAAAACAATAAAAATTTAGAAATGTATTTAAACTATATTTTTGCGAAACTAAATTGGTTTCTAGGGTGTGGTTGTGAATGTCTGGCCAAATGAAAAGAGCCTCAAAGTGTAATGCTTAGGGCTAGAGGTTGATTCAAATCCATTCTGCAATGATAACTGGTGCAAACCACGTGGGAGGAGCTTGGATTCTAATCTCAAGCGTCTGATTGGAGGAGGCCTCTAGTGGCGTGTGTATGGAAGGCTCACCAGGCGTCGTGTGCTCACCTCCCCTGCGCTGTGGCTGCGTTGGCGGCTGAGGTGCTGGCGGTGGGCGAGGAGGCTGCTGGGTCGAGGGCTCTGCAGTGGCAGTCGTGGGTCTGTGAAGGTGGTCGCCCTGCAGTTATGGTCCACGAAGAAAGGCTGAGAAGAAGACACAATCATGTCAAGTAAGTAGGTTGAGGGATTTAAAACCACAAACGTGAAGCACTTACATGAATGCACCAGTAAAAACATTAACACATAAAATATTTACAGTAAGTGTTATGGTTGTACTTTTAAAGCATATTTTAAACATTTATCTGCGGTATGTCTGCTTTCCTGCTAAGCTTCCATTATAAGTGTATTACTGTAAAGCACTTCCCGACAGATCAAAATGATTTTACATGGCAATTGACAACTAGCCACTGATGAATATAATATGAATTTACTTTCAATACATATTAGTAATTACGCTCATTAATATATAATATAATATCATTATTATATATATATATATAAAAAGAACGCTAGTAAATGACAGGCATATGAGCACAAAAAAGAAAAATAATTATGTACATTATATATGGATGTTAACATTGTAGGTACATGTCACAGTTATGGACTTTAGTCTGGTTAGTTTCTGTTGGTACCTCCCAGTTCCTGTTTGCCCTTATTTGGGTCTGTTCCTGATCTCATTAGTTCATCATTAGTTAATACTCACCACCTGTCTGTCCCTCATTAGTTTCCCATTTAAGCTCCCTCCTAAGTTCTTTGAGGACCCTGTGTGCTATTGTTCTTCATGTGGATTTATCATTAAAGAATTTACTATTTGGATTATCTTCATCTTCGTTTGGCTTCTTCATCGTCGTCCTAGCAGCAGTGTGACTGACTATCTATCTATCTATCTAAAATGAATACTTTTATTCAGCAAGGATACATGTATAGAATATATATATATATATATATATATTTCAAATTAATGCTGTTTTTTAACTTCTTAATTAATCAAAGAATCCTTAAAACAAAAATATTAATATCAACATAATAAGTGTTTCTTGATTATTAAATCAGCATATTAGAATAATTTCATAGGGATCATGTGACACTGACGTCTGGCGTAATGATGCTGAAAATACAGCTTTGATCACAGGAATAATTACATTTTAAAATATATTTAAGTAGAAAACATTTATTTTAATAATATTTCCCAATATTACTGTTTTACTGTGTTTTTAATTTAAATAAATACAGCCTTGGTGAGCATAAGAGCCTTTTTTCAAAAGCATGAAAAAAATCTTACCACCCCCAAATTTTGAATGGTATATATTGTTTTTTTTTTGCCATATCTTATGTTCATTTTCATATTATATGGCCAAAAAATAAATAAGATTTTATTTAGAAATGCACAGTAAAATTAAAAGCAGTGGGTAGAAAAAATGGCTGAAAAGAGAGACAGAGACAGCGATACATATCCAGAATGTGAAAACACAGAACGCAGAGAAGATGTTTCCAGACTTTTCCAGTGTGGTCGTGTTTCATTTCCCAGCCCCGCGGGAGATCCAGCTGTTTGTTGGCAAACATGTTGAGGAAGGCAACCAGGTCTCGATTGTGCTGGTAGCGCTCAAAGTGGTGCGAGTCCCGTCGCACTTTACTGATCATGTGTTTTAGACACGTGTTACTTGTAAACATGCGGTAGGCACTCTGAGAAAGAAAAAAACAACAGACAAGAGTGTTTCGTAGTGTTTAAGTAATGCTAATTGCCTTCTAAAAATTAAAAATGCAACAAAATGACTTTAACAACAATATAACATACTTTCGAAAGTAACGGTCGCCAAAATTAATGATGGAACCAGATGATGGGTTTGTGAAAAAACACCACAACCACAAAATTCCTTCAAGGGATGGAAAATTGGCTTGTGGTAAAAAAGTGTGAATAATGAATGTGTTTGGAGACTAACAGGGTTGGAATGCAGTACGGTGAAGAAATCCGGGCTGGTGAGAAACTTGGCGCTGGGGGACTGAAGCAGCAGAGACAAGCGCGAGCGAGAGCTAGCGGGCCCAACCACGCCGTCCCGACGGTACTCTGAAAGAGAGGACAACCATAGTGTGATATGCATGTTGGCTTAAATCAAAAGATCTGTTTTTCTCTATTGCATATTTCCTTGTATCTAACTAAGCAGACTCATCTGAATGCAGTGCATGTATGTGGTGTGTGAGAGAGTACCAGGTATGGAGGGATGCAGCAGGTCGTTTTCGTCTGTAGGCATCTCTGCAGCCTGTTCGTCTGTCCTCTCATTGGTTATTGTCCTCCGAATACTCTGATACCTGAACAAAACAAAGGGATACATTTATTGATATATGTGGACGTATTTTTCACAAGATAATCTTTTTACATTGATAACTGTAATTTATCATTCATAATTATATTTTGTTGCTTCTGTAATGTATTTATTATTTCAGCCTACTTTACCGTTTTAAATTAATAATGAAAATGTTTTTTTTTTTTATAAAATACTAAAATATTAATCATACATGTTAATCATATATGTATAATTTTATTTTTAACAGAAAAAAGAAAAAAAAATACTCTGTATAATAAATATGGATATTAATATATGCATTAATACTTTTATTCAACAAGGATGCATCAAATTTATAAGAGATTACAGTAAAGACATTTGTTACAAAAGATTTTTATTTAAAATAAATGGTGTTCTTTTGAACTTTCTATTATAATTCTATTGTATCAAGGAATCCTGAACAAATACGGTTTTCACAAAAAATATGATATTATTCTGTACTGTATTTATTATTGCTCAATTAGTCATTTCTATTTCAGCCTACTCTACCGTTTTAAATTAATAATGAAAAAAATTTATAAAATAAAATACAAAAAATTAAGTCATAATACATGTTAATCATATATGTATAATATTATTTTTAAAGGAAAAAAATACTCTGTATAATAAATATGGATATTAATATATAATATATTTATATATTAATACTTTTATTCAACAAGGATGTATTACATTTATAAGAAATTACAGTAAAGACATTTATGTTACAAAAGATTTATATTTAAAATAAATACTGTTTTTATTATTATATTCTATTGAAGAATCATGTGGTTAAAATATTATGGTTTTCCCCCAAAAAAAAATATATATATATTAGGCAGCACGTTTATTAAATTAAAAAAAAATATATTAAAATAAACATGATTATAAGAAATTTTTCTTGAGCACCAAAACACAATAATACAATTATTTCTTCAAGGTAAACATAAGTAATTATAAATATTTTATTTGAATTTAATTTAAAGCAAATAATACTGGCAAATGAAATCAAATGGATGATTAAATTAAATTAAATTAAATTAAATTAAATTAAATTGTCAAACCTGTGAATCAGAAAAATGTATGTCACAAACAATTCTCGCCAGTCATGACATTGCATTTTGCATTATTTTTTAGCTGAGAAGGGAATATTCCACATACGTTCCTAGACTTAAAAAAGCTTGATTTGAATCTCATTTTCACTGACATTTTATGCTTGGCAAACTGTTAACTTCGGATGCTGTACACAGCTATGCTACAATTGCTTTTGCAAGTGAAATGCATGCTAATCAAGCTAAATAAATTGAAATCAAGTTGAGGGAGAGAAAGCGAACGAGAGAGCATGAGAGATGTTTTGAAAGAGCATGATAATGGCAGAACAGATTAGGTTGCTGTGGTGACTGCCGGGTGACATTTTTAAAGAGCTGTTTTTCCATACAAGCGAGGATTAACAAATGGCATTTCAGACTCCGATAAATCCAGAGATATTGGAACTTAAGGTCACTGTGTTCTTAAAACTCACCTCCTATCAGAAGTCACTCAAATCAAGGCTGACTTCATGCCATCTTGATAGATATCTGCTGGTGTAAACATACTGACCTTCGGTTGAGCTGCTCCATCTGCTGAATGGAGTTGGATCTCTGTAGGACCTGAGGTGCAGCTGGAGCAGTGGGCCGCTGCCAGGTGGTGGTTCTGTTCACATGATCCACATAGAAAATCCTGCCGTGACTGTCTATACGAGCTTCCCAGTCTACAACATACACATTTAAAGTCCACTTATAATGTTATAATCAAACATAATAATATAATGAGCATCATTTCAAAAGATCAAAAAGTAAATCAAATGTTCCATGATTATGTCCCCTTTAGGACAGGCTGGGTGAATCTCAAACAAACACAAAAATATTCTCTCACTTGGTGGAAGAGGCTCGTCTACTCTCTGATAGCGGCTGATGTCGTGACGGACTGAAGGAAGAGACTGCATCGGCTGATGGCCGTTCACTTGAGCACTGGCTCCTTCAGAAGGACAAGATGGGTTATTTGTGTTGTGAACGATCAATGAAAACATACTGTACATATATTATACACAAATTATATAAAGCCAGATAATAAGTTAATTATATTTTATTTGAATAGAATTAATATTTGATTAATAATATATTGACTTTTAGAAAAATATATATTTTACATAATGTTATTTTATATAACATTAAAATATAATATTTTCTATTTTAATATTATAATAATTATTATTATTATTCACATAATAATTTATTTTAATAATAGAATAATTAATTATTATTTTTCTTTATTGTAATATGTATATGTTTCATATATTTTTATTATTGTTGGTGGTGGTGGTGGTGGTGCTGTGGTTGATAATATTATTATTATTAACAACAACAAATCAGACATACTATTTTATATTTTAATATAATACATATTATTTTTAATATTAATATTATTCATGTTCTTAATAATATGATATATTTTATTTTAATAATAACATAATTATTATTTGTATTTATTGTACTTATTACTATTATCATCAGTATTAACAACAACAAATTCATGCTATTTAATAAAAAATATATATAAAAATTGTTCTTAACAGTTATTAATAGTTAATATTTATTTCAATAAAATAATATTTGTAATAAAATATTTTTATATATTTTTTAATTCCTTTAATATTATAATATTATATAATATTAATATTATAATATTATTATTTGTTATAATAATGTTATCTTTTTTATTTAATGTGCAGAAAAGTTATAACTGATGGTAAAAGCTGATGGAGGATTGATAACCACTGTCATAAAATTCCCTTATGCCTTCCTAATGCTGATTTAGTATATAAATAACACAGGAAGTTACCTGTCTCTCCATCTGTTACTGTGGCAGCCTGTGCTGCGTCAGCTGCCCTTCTCACTTCATTGGATAATTCCACCCCTTCAGACTGTGATGCGTTCCCTGATGCTTGCAGACTCCGCCTCCTCTGCCAGATTCCGGCATCTTCCTCCTCCTCATTGGCCGTCTCGCTGGTGTTCCCCTGCTCCGGCTGCTTAGCTGCTGTGGCTCCGCCCCCTTCACTACCTGCATTACTGGCAGATGCTGAGGACTCTGTGACTGTAGCGGCCTCTGATGACCCTTCATCCCCAGTGACCGCCTTGGGTGCAACTCCTTCCTCATCCTGGAAGAAATGGATTATGTATAATGATGCAAAGGAAGAACAACATTACAATACAAATTGGGAAAATGATGATGATGATAATTATTATTATTACTTAAAATGATGGCTGAGATATGTAAAAAATGCAGGTTTATGCTTGAATCAACCAAATAATTTCTACTTAAAATAAATAATTTATGGAATATATTTTCTTTTCCATGCAGGTTTTAAATAGATAGATAGATAGATAGATCCCTTAACAGGTTAAAGAACAGAACAGAACAGAACAGAACAGAACAGAACAGAATAGAATAGAATAGAATAGAATAGAACTGCCAGACCCTACAGACCTGTATTTTGGGAGCTGGCCGCTGAGAGCTGCCGGTGCTCTGTGTCGAGTCTCCCATGCAGGTTTTAAATAGATAGATAGATAGATAGATAGATAGATAGATCCCTTAACAGGTTAAAGAACAGAATAGAACAGAACAGAACAGAACAGAACAGAATAGAATAGAATAGAATAGAATAGAATAGAGCTGCCAGACCCTACAGACCTGTATTTTGGGAGCTGGCCGCTGAGAGCTGCCGGTGCTCTGTGTCGAGTCTCCAGAGGCAGCAGCTCCTTCCTGACTGTCCTCTGCACCTCCATTTTGGCTCTTTGTGGTGCCACTGCTTGACCCCGATGCCGTGGCCTCCGTATCTGTGGCACTGCTGGCCGCTTCCGACTCAAGCCTCTCTTTGACAGGACCCTCCCCTTTGTCCTGTTCAGAGGAGGTGTGCCCCTCAGGCCGTGGAGCGCCATTGGTCAATGCCGGATCCCGGGAGGCGTGTCCCTCCTCGTCTTCATCAGAGTCTATATGTAACATAGCATTGAGCCGTGTGTCGGTGGGGAAACTGGAGCGTAGTTTAGGTGAGGCAGCCCCAAGAGGTCTGTCTCCGGGGCCCTTAGGGGCCTCAATAGCATCCAGATAGTCGTTAAGAGAGGCCTGACGATGAGTGTGGCCCGGGGTTCCTTCAGCCAAGTCTGGGGCTCCGTCTCTCAAGAGCCGATCCTCATCAGGGTCCATCATGCACTCATCAGTCCTAAAGGTGTCACCGTGAAGGGACCCTTCAGAGCCGGTGGGCGAGGGACCCCTGGCCATGCGGGATGAAGGATGCAAAACATCCTCGTCGTCTGATGGGCTCCCTGGATCTCCATTCATAGAGGTGGCTCCCAACAGAGATCCCATGGCATCTACAAAAGCATAATACTTTTATTCAGCAAGGAGACATTCAATTAATCAAAAGTGACAGTAAAGACATTTATAATGATACAAAGATTTATATTTCAAATAAATGCTGTTCTTTTGAACTTTTTATATTTATCAAAGAACCCTGAAAAGGGATCTTGTGAGGCATGACACAAAGGGGACCCAATAAACCCCCCTTAAATTAATAAATATATATATTGACCAAGTAATATACTTCATTAGCTAACTGTAGGCTGTTTATAGTTTACAAGAATTACATTTACATTTGTGTTTTACAACACATTTAAACATGGCTCATCAAATCAGATTTTAGAATCAGAAATAGTGGAAATTGGCAAGGATGTAACTGTAAAAACTGTAAAATTGTTGAAAAAGAGTTTAGGGACGGACAGAAATAGGGGAAAAAAATAGTTTCAAGTCATAAAAAAGTAAAAACTCCTTTACTTTTGAAAATACTGCTACACCACCATTTTTTTTTTTAAAGACATTAAAAAAGATGATGCATTACATTGATCATACAATAAAGACATTTGTAATTTTACAAAATATATAGACAGTTACAACAAATTTTAATTTCAAATACATAATATTCATTCCAAAAAAATATATAAATCATAAAATATTAAGCTGTTTTCAACTAATAAATGTTTCTGGAGCAGCAAATCAGCATATTAGAATGATTTCTGAAGGATCATGTGAGTAATGATGCTGAAAATTCAGCTTTGCATCTCAGAATTAAATTACATTTAATAAAAAATATTAAAATAGAAAACTGTAAATTTAAATTGTATTAATATTTCACAACATTTCCATTCGTACTGTATTTTTAATCAAATAAATGCTGCCTTGGTGAGCATAAGAGGCTTCTTTCACAATCATTTAAAAAAATATATATATCAACCCCAAACTTTTGAGTGATATTGAATGTATAAATAAATATACTGTAATCTGTACCTTCATGTCCGTTGGACGTGATCTCCACCCTGAAGTGAAGCTGTCCACTCACTTGTTCTGTCGGCAGACGACGACAAAGCGTGTAGCTCACATGTTGATCCCTTTTTTCCAAAAAAATAAATAAATAAATCACACTGCATAAATGTATATTATCTGTAATAAGCATCTGTATAAATAAGTTTATACAAAGGTATTGTACCAAATACAGTATCTACCTCATCTTAGGATGCAAAAAAAGTTATTTTTTACATTTTTATATTTACCTCTTAAATTATTACAAAAGTTATGTTTACATAAACATCTGTGGACAACAATGAACTGTAAGAGACTCGGAGGATATAACTCTGTTAATAAAAGCTCATACATAATAGATCCTCGCAGCTATATTTCAATAGTGAATACTGACCCGGCTGTATGTCTCTCCAGCAGTCTCTGCACTGGCATTGTCAGCTGACCTAAAAAGCGTTTGATGATCGGGCGACTTTTTGCAAATTTGTCCTTGACCTCAATTTCCAAAATGTCCGTCATCAGAGCAACAAAAGTGTACTTCTGCAGGCCAGGGGAAAAGAAAAGTAGTATGAAAATTAAGGTTTACAGTTATGTTTTTGTGCAGGGAAAGTAAAATAATAATCAATCTTACAGTATATTCAATCTTATATAAGATAACAAAACTTTACTCTTGTTTACTTGAGTAAAGTAAATTTTGTTTTTGTTAATATACCTTTTGGAAATGTACCATGGTAGAATTCTTAAAAATACACCTGAAGTACCTTGTAAATACATTGATATGTTTATCATTTAGTACCATTCACTGTGTTTTTATAATAAAGAAAATTTTTTACATTTAAGAGATGTTACCAACGTATAGTGCAGTCATTTCTGGAGAAAGGGCACTGTGCTCAAGGGCACTATGCTTTTACTGAAAACTTCTTGTTTCAGAGTCACCCCTACTTGGTTACATCCCATTAACTTCTCAGCTCCTCACAGTGGACTGACAGCAGGGACGTCACCCTGCAGCATCGCTGAAGAAGTGAACACAAACAGCAGATTGTATATTTCGTTAGAATGAGATGCATTTCAAATCATTGTAAAATTAGTCTTGAAAATTAAAATCATTAAGCCAAATTAACCATATTACTTGGTGCATGAATTGTTTTTTGATACTAAAAAGATTATTATTATTATTTACATGCAATGCATCCATTATTGCAGTGTTATAAACAGCAATATACTGTCCATTGCAATGATTTTACCATGGTTAATGAAGGTTTAGCACACCTCATTATCCATGATCCCATATGAATATGAATTACCTCTCCGTGCCACACAGGGTTAGTGGTGTTGGATATGATGGAGGTTCGTCTCTCCTGGCCGTGGTGAGTGAATGTAGGGAAGCCGTTCCTCTTGCCTGGCTGAATGCTCATCTTCAGATAGGGGTCCGGATTAAAAAACATGCCCTTCTTCAGACCCTGAGCCCTGATATCTGCAATAAACACACACACAATGTGAGCTAGCAGCATCAAGAAATTATCTATCTATCTATCTATCTATCTATCTATCTGCACTAGCAGCTCATTGTCACAAGAGGGCATATATATATATATATATATATATATATATATATATAGAGGAGTTTTAATTAAGAAGACAACACATCTCTTTATGTCAGATTGTATATTTCGTTAGAATGAGATGCATTTCAAATCATTGTAAAATTAGTCTTGAAAATTAAAATCATTAAGCCAAATTAACCATATTACTTGGTGCATGAATTGTTTTTTGATACTAAAAAGATTATTATTATTATTTACATGCAATGCATCCATTATTGCAGTGTTATAAACAGCAATATACTGTCCATTGCAATGATTTTACCATGGTTAATGAAGGTTTGGATTGTAAAAAAATAAAAATAAAGAATCACAGTACTGCCTCTCCAAATGGCTTTTAGCTGACAGAATTCATATATGTAAAAAAAGAAATCCTTTTACTAAAATGAGACTAGGTGTAGTAAATATCATCCGTTCTTACCTGACAGAGTAAAGCTGACCAATTTCCTGCAGTGTTCGGTGACCGACTGACCATCCACCTGCCCCTCTGCCCCGACCTGTATAACACACAATTACACATTATGATATAGAGAAACAGAGTAGTGAGATTTTATTTTCACTGAGATATTAATATTATTACGGTGAGACTGAAACATTATAATTTCCATATGTTAAGCCAATGCACATTTAACTCACATTAAATGGGTGTGTATTCGCTCAAAACGTGTTCTGCATCAATCCACATCATACAAAGTAGCAAGCAGCAACAGTAATTTGATCAAAACTTCATTTTCAAAATATAAGTTCAGAATTCAGATATAAGAAAATATCTCCATCCCATTTGTAATCCTGTTCCATTTGCCTGAGGAATCACAGATAGTTTTAGCACATCTCAGATCACAGTCACATGATCTGATGTATTCATTCTCTTTTCAATAGCACAAAGATAAGTTCAGTGATGCTCTGCGAGTGAATCGGTCCGTTAACTCTAGGGGTTCGAGTTCAGGCTCATGTCACAGAGGGTGGAATGTGCCCTTTGCACTAGTTCTGTGACGTCGTGTCGGCAGCCTGGCGCTAAGCATATCAAAGAGCGCTCTCTACTTCCTGTGCATTCCCTGCATGCCTGTGAACATGATACTTCTCAAACTCCAGCGCCTGATAATGGAGCTTGCAGACACACAGGCAGAGAAAGACTAAGAAACACACGCAGGTGGAGACGATGTGAAAATGTGAAATATATCTACTGATTTTGTCGGTTCGAAGCATTGTAAAATAACCTATATGCACAAACATCAAATGTATTTTATATTAATGCAATAAGTTCATTTGTTGCTTAAGAACCATAAACAGTCATACAAATACTGGTTGGACTAATTAAGTATATTTCCTGGAATTTAATTACACTACCTGTTTTTTTTTAAAGATATGAATATTAAATTGATTAAAAGTGACAGTCAAGCCATTTGTAATATTACAAATATTTCTATTTCAAATAAATGCTGTTCTTTTGAACTTTCTAACTATCAAAGAATCCTCAAAAATGGATCACAGCATCTACAAACATATTAAGCAGCACAAGTGTTTTCAACACTGATGATAATAATTCATATTTTTGAGCAGGAAATCAGCATATTAAAATGATTTCTGAACGATCACTGAAGGACACTGAAGACTGGAGTAATGATGCTGAAAATTCAGCTTTGATCACAGGAATAAATTACATTTTAAAACATATTAAAGTAGAAAACTATTATTTTAAATTGTAATCATATTTCACAATTGTACTATTTTTTGCTGCATTTTTTAATCAAATAAATGCAGCCTTGGTGAGCAGAAAATACTTTTTTCAAAAACATTAAAAAATCTTTTGAACTCTAGTGCAATTAAATCAACAAATTCTATTTAAAATACAAAATATATAAAATTTTAAATATGCATTGTTGCATTGTTTGTTGTTACATTAAACTACATTTTTAAACATCTATTTATTAGTCAATATAAAAATGATGTATTTACATTTTTATTTTTTTAATTAATAAATTGTCAGTGGAGCACCAGGTCCTCCATACTTTCTGTGCTACAACTCTAAAATAAATCTATTTTTGTCCCTTTTTGTTATTTATAAAAAAATAAATATAATGTAAATATAACAAACATGATTTGAACCTTGGCTCTCCAAGTAAGCACCACAGCTAGAGTGTTGTAACATGTCCATTAACCTCGAGGCCACAGCTCTGACATATAAAACAACTAAAAAGGGGGTTAAAAAGGGGGACAAATCTACTGTTATGAAAACGTAACATTATGCCATTTCGATGAGTAATGCTTTCATGTGTTTCTCTCAAGTTCATGTGACAAATTCACTTTTAAAAGATGTTGAGTGAAAGCATAATTCAAAGAGTGCCTGATCAACAGGAGCATTTCGCAGCTCAACAACTCAACTAACACTTTTAAATCCAAAAGTCAACACAGACTTACTGTAACTCCAGGGTTCTTGACAGTGATGCAGGGTGTTATGGCCCTCAATGCTCCACTCACTCCATGGTAATATTTGAAACAGATTTTGGTCTCAGCTGAGAAATATAAATACAAGATTATGTTTCTCAAATATTTGAAATATAAACAACACATATCTCCATTATTATTCTCATATAATAACATACTTTTATCATTGTTTCAGTCTCAGGCAGCATGTTCATAGACCATCTAATCCATAATGGACACAAAAATGCCAAGAGCTTTCTCAAAAGGCAAGCTGTAATCTGATTGGCTGGCTTTATGTAATTCCCAGGAATCAATGTGTACAGGATCATGTGCACAGTATCAGTCTGCTGAGAAATAAAATGGTGTTTTCAAGTTCCTAGGCTGCTACACTGAAGAAAATAATGGTATAGAAACTATTTTCACTCAGAAAATGCTTGAAAATCTTATAAATATTTACAAATAAATGGCATGGAACACATTGAATTGAATGTAAAAAAATGTAAGCAGAAAACCTAAAGTAGTATTCGCTTGTAAAAAAAAAATGTTTACAGCTCTGAAAAAAAAAATTACAGTGTACAGTGTAGCATTCAAACATTATTTTTTACATAATGTATAGAGGCAGATTTATCTCAAATTAATACTCAGGCAAAACTCTACATATCTACACAACTGGTCAAAAGTTTGGGGTATTTTTGAAAGAAGCTTCTTATTGTCATCAAGGCTGCAATTATTTGATCAGAAATACAATAAAAACTGTAATATTGTGAAATATTATTGTAATTCAAAAATAAATAATATATAAATTTTATTATAAATATATTCTAAATGTTATTATAAATTAAATTGTAAATTATATAATAAATGTATATATATATATAATTAATATATAACACAGTGGGTACGGAAAGTATTCAAAGCTGAATTTTCAGCATCATTACAGTCTTCAGTGTCACATGATCCTTCAGAAATCATTTTAATATGCTGATTTGCTGCTCAAGAAACATTTCTTATTATTAATCAACGTTGAAAACATTTGTGCTGCCTAATATTTTGTGGAAAACCATGATATTTTCTTTCTTTCTTTATGTGCTGATATTATATTCATTACTAACTCCAAACTTTTGAATGGTAGTGTACCAAACATTTGATCCCAACAACCTTGCAAAGACTGTCAAATCCGAACAGAAGCCCTGCTTCTTGAAAAAGAAAGTGCATATTTGTCAAAGCTCTCACTTACGCTCCATGAAGTACGGTCCGGCCTCCAGCCTCCAGAAGATCTGCCCTCTCTGAGTGCCGTTCACCCCTCGGTTCTTCGAATCCCAAACGTTCGCGGGACACGTCTCATCTGTGTCGGCACAATATTTGTCTTATACATACAGTAAATAAATGACTAAGACGAAAGGCCTCCACCAGGAGTCAATAGATCTCATTATAAATGTGTGGCTGTGAAACAGCTTAGGGTTGGCCACACCTCAGGCCTATTCTCTCAAGGGCTTAAAGCCTTTTGTAAGGGTCTTGAGAACAAACAAATGGTAAAGTGTTTGTCCTGAAGGTAAGGGACCATGTTCCGAGTTGATGTTTCCTGTTCTTTAACTCGTCAACTCAACATGCCCCTGATCAAACAATCCTCTTACCTGCTCCTATTTGTTTGGCTCTCTCAAAAATCCTACTCCATAAAGAGAACAGTAATATAGCTCAATATAATCATGCATGCATAATAAATAGAATCACAAATGCACCATAAAATAACTATATACTGTACACACACTGACAATTCTAGATTTAGTATTGATGTTATGCATGAATCAGCATTTGCAACTCATTTTAGAATTAATATTATTAACACTACTGTATAGAGTCATTATTAATACTATATGTGACCCTGGACCACAAAACCAGTCATAAGGGTCAAATTGGCATAAAAGAAAAATCAATAATTTTGACCCATACAATGTATTTTTGGCTTTTGCTACAAATATACCCCAGCGACTTAAGACTGGTTTTGTGGTCCAGGGTCACATATATAGTGTTAATAACAATTAATATGTTAATAATAATGTTAATATTAATTATACAATATATCTATATATTTATATCTGTCGATGTATCTATGAATAATAATAAAATATTATTAATAATAATAATAATACAAAAATATAGTGTATACAAGTGTATTATATATTTATATATGAAATCAACATATACAATCTAGCTTTTTTAAATACAGAAAATTATAAAAAAATATATATTAAGTTTAATCAGACGTGGGACAATGTATATTGATTAAGCTCGACTACAAGTAGAGCATCTAGTGGCAAAGTATAAAGAGGGCACTAATGAATTGATTGGCAGTGATTCGAAACAGACAGGACGTATTGTGGGTGAACTGAGTCCATGAGCACATTAGCTTCAATTTCCAGTCTGAGCTTGTATAATCAATACAGCCACAAAACCCAGAGACCCAATGACCCACTGCTGATTATCTATCTCTCTGTGACACAATCTTTTTCTCCTTTCCGCCCTCTAATTCTGGACAAACAGTATCTGAACAAAAGAGCGAATAACATCTAATGACAAAACTCCCAATTAAGCAATTTGTCCACATGAGGGAGAATTAGGCCTTATTAGGACAAGTAGCAAAAATGTGATGACTCAAATATTCTCCAATTTTTGTAATTAATAAAATAAAATAAACACATGAAATCTGATTTTTAGCTAATTTGATTCTTATCCCCATTATATATGGTTTGAAACTGGATTAAAATAAATATTTTTGGAAAAGTGGAGTCGTCACAGACCACAGAATGTATCGGAGCTATTTGAATTCTACACAGAATGCTATATTTTATAGCAATATGGATGAGATTGTGGCTGGCATACCCTGTCAAATGCGGCTTTACGGAGCTCAACGGCTCTGAACGGCTCTAGCCCAAGCTGTGATATAAACGAACGCTATTGGCTATTTTAAAAAGGGGCGGGGCTGCTTGATATGTCCCGCCCTGTCTTCCTGTTTCAGTTAAAATGACGTCAACACATAGAGTAACGCTGCGTGTTTCTAAGCATTTCAGGGGACCTTTAACAACAGATATACACAATATACCTGACAGAAATCTCTGTCTGAACAAATAGAACTGATTTTAGCACTTGCAAAATGACAGTCCAGACAGTAAATCCTAAAGATAGGATTTGAAAAGCAAATCAGAATTGGGTGTAGTGTGAAAAAAAGCTTCAAGACATGCTATATACACTAAATAAACAATTTGATGTTCACATTTAAAAACCTTCCCAAAAATGATTATAATAATAAAAGTGCATGTATGTCTCAATTTTAGTTTTCTAACTCCAAGCTATATATCTAATGCAGTCAAGGTTAAATATAGTCTAATGTAAGACTTTAGCGAGATCCTTCTATGCATTCAGGAAAAAAAAAAAAAACTAGCAAGTAGCACAATATGATCCAGAATCCATTTACACATACATCCATGTCTATATAATTGTTGGTAGCCATTGACTTGCATAGTATTTTTTCCACACTATGAACAAGAACCAGACATCAGAAGTGAGTTTGCTCTGAAGAACGGTTTACAGCCCCTGTTTCTCTCTAGGTGTGACGGCAGCCAGTGATCACTAATTAAGGGACGCTCTTCATTCTGTCAGACCCTCAGTAAATAGACCAGCCTTGTCTACTGTAATCTACAGCAGCTCATCTGAAACTCTATCACAGTGCTGACACTGGGCCTCTGTTACTGAACGTCTACAAGAAGCCACAATTCACCCGACCGTGTCACATGACTCACGTAAAAATCAATCATCTCTGACTCCAGCGCAGCGGTGCCTTGCATCATCCAGCTTCGCGGAAAAACCAGCTAAATGCCTTACTGTAAAATCAGGACATATTCTGAGCACACGATCAAAAATAAGACAAATAAACAAATTTAAAGCAGATGAATTAAATGTTTCATATGTTAAATGTAATTTGACATACACAGCTGTCTGTGACTCTTGTGTGTCAATAATGTTAAAAAGACTTTCTTAACTGCAAATTCATTTATGGGTATCTTGAAACATTGTTTCACTCCAAAATAGAAAGGATATTTTTAAAGTAAGAAATAATACATATATGGATACATATTTTAGATGTTTTTGACACAATTATGACTTTTTCCCCTTGTGACATTATTCGCATGATAATTAAGCACATTTTGCCTTCAAGTAATCATTAACGTAATGGGTAAAGATGTTTTATGTTGGAGGTTTTTTGCAATCCCTATTATTCTTAAAAAAAATTTTGCTAAAAAAAAAAAATACAAAAGTGCAAAAAAGGACGTATTGGCAAATATTAACCATGATAATGATATGATATTACTTTAGATTTATTTTATCTTTTATTTATTTTATTTTTTTAGTAATGTGAAGATGATGTGCTTAATTTGTCATGACAATAATGTCATAATGCAAAAAATGGTAATAGCCATAATAACAGGATTTAATTTCCTTATGGAAAATATAATTTAATATTTCTTTCATTTCACTTTGGGCTGAGATATAACCAAGTATGCTATTGTTATAGGTTTTGTGATGAGTTAAATCTTTTCACAAAAATTAATGAATACATTAAAATGTAATGCAGTACATCTGAAGAGGATATATTATTTTTTACTCACTTTCAGGCCATCCAAATGTAGATTAGGTTTTTTTTTTTTTTCATCTGAACAGATTTAGTCAAATTTAGCATTACATCATTTGCTCACCAATGGATCCTCTGCAGTGAATGGGTGCCGTCAGAATGAGAAACAATCACAATGTTTTTGCTTGTAAACTGTGCATATTTTTCTCCTGATTCAGACTGTATGACTTTTTCATTGGGGGAAGTGTTATTATGGATTATCGACTCATATTTTGGTCAGAATCAACAGTTAAAACATCTTAATGATGGATTTGGTTTTTTCAAACATGCAGCCTTTTGCTTCACATGGACTGCAGTCGTGTGGATTACTTGTGGATTATTGTGACGTTTCTATCAGCAGTTTTCTGGTCTCATTCTGATGGCACCCATTCAATGCAGAGGATCCACTGGTGAGCAAGTGACGTAATGATACATTTCTCCAAATCTATTCAAAGGAAGAAGCAACCTCAGCTACATTTTGATGTCCTGAGGGTGAGTACATTTTCGGAAAATCTTTGCATTTTTGGGTGAACTATTCCTTTAAGCCAGTTGTTCTTTTTGTGTGTAACACAGGTCATAAATCAGGACCTGGTCACTCCCGTGGGGAAAATAAGGCTGTGAATGAAACTCCAGAGGCTCTGAGCGGATCGATGGCTTGCACAATCCCTCAGTGGAGGCCTTTCTCTGGGACAGACCACAGAGGAATTCCCCAGTCCTGATCGATGGCCCCATGAAGCCGGCTATAGTAGTGTGAGGGATCGGCTTTCACTGACCATGACTGTCAAACAGATCCTGAACCCTGCGCTCATACTACTGTACATAACACAGATTACAGTTAGAATGAGAATAAATCTTGTTTACTGACACTTGTACTATATATAATATACTTTATATTTGAGAAAAACAAGCAAGTTTTTGTCAACTATTCATGAAATCTTATACAAACAATATTTTTACTATGCCTGAATAATACATGAGCAATGACTGCATACTGTTGTGGGTGCTTGAGCGGTTTTATGATAATAATATTCAGGTAGGACTCAGGTCCCTTCAAAATACTTTTCAACTGATTTATCATTTGCAAAATTAAAGACAGATCACAGAAAAGCAATAGCACACCGTGATGCACAATTCCAGGTATCATTACTATTGAATGCACCACTAAATTCCCACTTCCAAGAAGCTAAATCTATAGAGATTGTATTTCTGAAGCCTTGATCAAGCTTGATTTGATTCAAGCTAATGCTTTACTTTAGCTGAGAAAATTCTATAAAGTATCATTTTTCTTTCTATGCAAGAAGGAAAATTTCACGAGTTTACATTACAACCATAACTAAAATGCATGGGTTGTTATGGGTGCACATGTTGGAAGTTAGCTTCCAACATTGTTTACTGTTGTTAGCAATTTAAAGGCACTAGACCCAGAAAGACAGATCACAAAATTAATTTTAAAATGTATTTTCTAAAGAAAATGTTGATGCCAAATGGATTATCCCATCACACAATACTATTAATTAATTAAAGATCTTTAAAGGGGTCATATGATGTTGCTAAAAAGAACAGTATTTGGTGTATCTGGTGTAATGCAATGTGTTTATGCGGTTTAAGGTTCAAAAAACACATTATTTTCCACATACTGTACATTATTGTTGCTCCTCTATGCCCCGCCTTTCTGAAATGCTTTGATTTTTACAAAGTTCATCGGTCTGAAATGTGAGGTGTACGCTGATTGGCCAGCTATCCAGTGCGCTGTGATTGGCACCTCAAGCTCCATGACATGGCAGCGGCGGCGGCAACAATGCTACAGCGAGAATAAAACTTACACCTTCTTTCTTTGCGTGAACATTTGGACAGCGTTATGCAAATCTTCCCACACAGTGACGTAGACATGTGGGGGCGTGTTTAAACGAGGGGTTTTAAGAGGGCGTGGACGAGTCTTAACTTTTATAAAGAATATCTCTTTGGGTTTGAGACTTTAGTCTTTGCAATTTTAGGGATCTCATCTATGCACGAACAGCTTGTAACACTCCGAAGAGAAAGGAAAACTTGAAATTGCATCATATGACCCCTTTAAAAAGCTAAATATCACTACACTATACAGAGGAAATAGGAAGAAATATCAAACACAACAGCATGTCCCACTTTACCTGCAATTACTCTAAATGACAGTAGAATATTGTCTCTGAACATAACAAATGTGTGTATAATTCACTGCAAGTCAGTGAATGGTTAATTGTATTGCAGTTGCTCTTATAGTCTGTATCTAGGGATACTGGTGGGTTGAGTTTGTTCATGGTTGGTTGGTGTCTCGTGGGACACATTTTGCTCATCCTCCCACCTCTCCTCTACAAATCAAAACTACGGCAGTTATGGGCTCTCAAAGCCATCATAAATAGTGCTGAGTAACTAGATTCAACCATCAGCGCAAGTACGGAGGAGAGGACGAGATAAAAAGTAGCTAATGACAAGATGCAATTAAGCCAGAGTCAGCAGTTCATCTGTTTTCATTTGCTCATTCACTTGCAATCACTTGCTTCATTAACATATTAAACCCACACAGTAGGTCACAGTTGGGCTGGGCGGTATAACAGTATTTACTGTGCATAGAAATGTCTGGTTTACATTACTTTGCTGATTATAATGGGAGTGATTTAGTTTAGATGTAGCATGTTGCACATCTAACATTCAGTGTGGACACAGTGTTCACTTTTAGAAATAGTCTTATTTTTAGTTGGTGCCTGTTATATTTTGGTTTAAGTCCAATCAAATGATTAAAAACACCTTTCACACACCATTATATCATGTAGTCATTTTGGCCTATGCAGAGTACATGACATCTTGTCAAGTTGTCAAAAAAAAAAAGACAGAGTTACCAAAACTTTCTAAACTGCAATCACAATATCTACAGGCCACATTCTCTGCATGAAAAATCACTACTTTGAGAAGACAAACACTTTGCCACCAAACAGAATTGCAATCTGCTTGCTTGAGCATCATTAATTAACAACATTAGCTCAACCAAACCTTTGACCAGAACTACCTGTTTATCCAAAACGATGGAATGAGGAAGTTTTTATTATTTTCTCCAATTCTGTTAGCGCCACAGAAATTATGCATTGTGCCATTATAAAAAGACTTGCAGGTTGTGTTTCCAATACTAAAGAGAAAGAACCGGTGATACAGAGATAAAAAAAACACAAAACTAAGTAACAGTAAGTAAATATAAGTTTACCTTCCATTTAAAGGAATTACTTTCAATAGAGAGTTTTCCCACACCCCAAAACATCTTACCAATGTGGTACAGTCCAATCCAGTCAGTGGCATCCACCTCCTCCTTGATGTCCCAAGAGATGACCAGGTTTTGCCCTCGCCCAAGCGTGAACTGGTACGTAGAGGCCGTTAAGGAGGAACGGCTATCTGATGTCACCAAGTCCGTGTCACTGTTGGCCCGCTGCAGGCCCATCGATTCGGGAGCTCCTCCTCTAGAGCTCCCCCCATTTCCAGAGCCACCCCGCGCTGAAAGGCTGCGGAGGTTTTCTGGGCTCAGCGTGTAGCGCATGTGCGGGCTGCGCCTCCGCACCACCAGGAGATGTTCACGGGCTGTGGTGGTAGTACCGGTGGCCATGGTGACTTGGGTGGAGGGGATGGAGGTAAGAAATAGGTGCCAAACGGCCAAAAAAAGGGGGGAAAGGGGTTGGGATTTGGGTTCAGGACCAATAAGCGCCAACAAGCCCTAGTCGGCGGAAGGTTTCTCCTTCCTTAAGTTCACTGGAAGTGGCAGTGTCATCTGAAATGATAAGTATATATACTTGATTTCCGAAATCTTGGGTTTATGATCTCTACGTATCTTAAACATAACTATTCCAGAAGACTGAAAGTTTGCTGGGCCTCCAAAACCCGCCTCAAAGAGCAGCTAATCCCAGCCAGATCTCTCAAAGCTTCATTTTTAAAGTCTTTGAAGTCATGCAGAGGTTGTTTCTTGGGCGCCAAATGGTCTTAAAACAAGGCTGAGATTTGGGTTCAGTCCCAAGACTGGCCGGTTGGCAAAAGCCCTAGTTAGCAGAAGTTTTCTCCTTCCTTAAGTTCTCTAGAAATAGCATCTAATATCATGAGTACATGTATTTGACTTCTGAAATTCCTAACGAGGTATCTTAAACACAACTAGTTCAGAAGATTGTGGGTTTTTTGGGCCTCAGAGAACATCTAGTACCAATTAGATCTCTCAAAAGTTCATTTTCAAAGTCTTAATGGTGGAAGTCATGAAGAGGTTGTTTTTGGATGCCAAGTGGCCTTAAATCAAGGTTGAGATTTGGGTTTAGGCCCAAATAGGCCAACAAAACCCACTCACAGCACTAGTTGATGAGGTTTTCTCCTTTTCCAAGTTCTCCGGAATTGGGGTTTGGCAACTAAACAGACGATTATATAACCCACTTCTGAAATACCCAACAGCCTTGCGTTTATGCCATTGAGGTATCAAATAAGCATCCAATCCAGAAAAGAAAACCCAACTCAAAGGCTGTCGGATACCAGTCAGGACTCTCAAAGGTCCATATTCAGAGTCTCAGAGGGACTAAAGCATTGCAAGACAAAAATTAACTGAATATAAAAACTTTCTCAGTATCATAACAGTCTCTGTCCAAATCATCTGTTATGGACATTACTGCTTCCTTCCGTTAAATGCAGGCTGGATTGTTCCTGTCCATTTGTAGTAGCCAAGATTGGAATAAAAATTGGACTTGGGATGTAAGGAATCTGATCTTCGCTTTGCCTTCAGGTCCAGGAGATTGGTTGAGACAGTGTGGGATTCCACGCTGGGTTTTGGTCAATGGGGCAGGTACCAGCGAACAGAAAGGCAGGACGAGTGATCCCTAAAAGAAACAGGAAAAAAGGAATGTTGTGAACAGGTAGAAATACAGATTTTGTTTATGAATTTACTCAAACCCATTTTGAACCAATTTACAGGGGTGTAAAAATGACTTTAGAAAGCTGGCAGCATCATTATTTTATTTTTAAACAGATTGGTAGTTCTATTTGCGAAATCTGTTGACTTTAGCCATTTTTGTTTCATTATATGCCAACGGTGATACCTCAAAAATGGCAAAAAGCACTTATTTTGCTTCGTTTGCATGCCTGTAACTCAAAAAGTATTAAAGATATCTTCATACCCTTTTAGATTCTGTTTCTTAACAAGCTTTCCTTTTGGTATCTTCATTTTAAAGGCCCTCAGTGGTTTAGTCCCAGAGATATGGAGATCTCAATGTGGCTTTGTGAGTAAACTGGACAATTGTACACATTTTCAGTGGTCAAAAACCAAATGTAGGTGTCACGATCACCAACTGGAGTGCCCATGAGCTCCACCAGTGGGCACTCCATCCCTGACTTTTGCCATACACCCTGGACTACATTCCCCATAATCCTTTGCTGGACTCATCAGCTATTGCATCACCTGTCACTCATTAGATCTCATCATCAGTTCACAGCTGTCTCACATTAGAAGGACTTTAAAAGATGCACACACACTCGAACACTTCGCTGGTGATTGTTTAGCCTGTATGATTCCTAGTTTCTGTTAACCTGCCCGTGTTTCTTTGTTTTGCCTTGCCTTTGTGTATTTTGGATCTTGGACTGTTTATCTAGTTTTTATGATTGTTTTGCTGCCTGCCCTGACCATAGCCTGTTTACGGATTACTCTTTGTCTGGGATATTATTGTTTGCTGGTACTGGACCCTGCCTGTCTGACCACGTTTACGAATAAAGCCTGCATTTGGATCCTCAACTCCGTTGTCACTACGCCTCCTTCGTTACAGTAGGTCACTCTGCATACAGCTGATACATTTTCTTTTAATGAGTAATATCTGACGAACAAATAATGTTAACTAGAAATGTATGTCGTGATTTTTCTATCAACACAACTGCATAGAACATAACTGTCTGGTTGCCACAAATATTCGTTTTCTAACGTTTGCATGTCTCTAAATCTAAAAAAATATTAAAAGATATTTTAAAAGTCAACCATTAATTGTCTGAATTAACTTCTGCAACACTATATGGGACAAGCAGTTTGGAGAATGCATGGATGAGTTTGAACTTGGTTCATATTAAAATCCACAACAGCAAACAAAAAAAAACATAATAGTTTAAGAAAACACACAAAAATATCTCATAATACTGCCCAGGAGCATCACTTGGTAATCCTTTTTTAAACCCTTTTTTTTTTTATACTTTGCAGATTACAGTACCTTTCTCCTCCCATTTTCCCCTCCCTTTATCTCTCTCAAAGTCAGTCCTGCTTTCTAAAAGTGTAGATAAGCGTGCATCTCCCAAGCGGCTCCTAAAGTAGATGTTTCTGCTTGAGTGGTCGGCGCAGATTTCCAAAAGGGTGTGAAACACCGAGCGATGTAGCCTGCCCAGCTTACCTCAGCACGTCCTGGCCAACGACCAAACACAAGAACCTTCTATACTACTGCCAAAATCATCCACGAGCTGCCTCTCTGTGCCTGTAGGCCAGTCTACAGTCACTGCCCCATGCCAACACCTTGTTTTGAAGTAAATCGCATTATATGTGAATGTGGTGATAAATCAGTACAATGGTATATCAAAGGTATTGTATCTAATACCATAACACGCCACTTTTTTTTTTTTTTTTTTCAAAGGGAAGTCGGACAGTAAGCCCCAAAAAAATCTGTGATTATATTGGTACCTGCTAATGTTGATTTTGTTTTTTGGGGGGGTTTTGTGACATTGGGGTGATTAGGCAGATGCTTAAAACAGAGAATATATAATATATATTTTTTATTCAAACAAACCAAATAATTTCCAGTTCAATTCCAGGTTTTTAAAATGTAAACAGTGTACCATCTTTTCTATTGAAATACGTAAACAAAATTATAAACTGGAGCTTTAGTATGAACATCGGGCTGAATTTAATTAATAAAATATGCAACATTGAGAATATTGAGATGAATGTATTTCATGAATTTTATTTTATGGTAATTAGTTTAGTGTCGGCAGCTCTCCCTGATTTGCTACTTGCTAGTATTGGAGTGTAAAGACAGAGATGTTTTGATTTTGTTTCAAATTAAAACTTCAAATTCATTTTACAGCGTATAAAAACAGCGCTAGATTTGGGAAGTTGTTTCATTTCTTTGGATCAGTTCAAACGGTCTGTTTCAGTCATTCGATACAAAATGATTAAGTGATTTTTGTAAAAACAAATCATTATTTCAGAGAAAATATATAGATATTTATTATAAAATAAAATATTCTTTAAAATATTAATATATTTTATAGGCTACAGGGTGATATGGCTGCTGAATCTCTCTCACACACACACGTTTTCGGTTATACCGGTGTTAAGCCGCAACACCGGTTACGTCATTTGCCTACCGCGGCACCACCCCCCCACCGTCGTTTTGATTTTTTTATAGTAACAAAAATAATTTAGCCTAGTTCAGTTAGAGGACAGACACTTTTAAAAACTAAACGCTCAATGCAGCGTGCCGAACCGTGCGCGAACGACAGTGCACCACGGAGCAGGAGTCAGATTTTATTTAGGAGAGTGAGTCGAGCTGACTGACAAGAGTGAGGTGAAAAAGACAAGATGATGGCAGAAGATTGTTTAGAAAGGAAATGCAAAGGCGCCTGTTTGGCAATATTTTAGATTTTGAAAAGCCTATTGACTGGAAGTTTTTTTTAAACATTCGTTTCTTATTTATTTGGTTCCACAGTGTTTGCTGATTTTCAGTTTTATATACCTATTTAAACTTTGTGTAGCCCAAGCAATTTGTTATTTTATTAGGCATATATGGTGTATTTTTATTCGTTTTGTTAATAAACTTTCAGTTAAATGCTGCCTATAAAAAAAGAACCAAAGAAGCTCTGGCTTATTTCTAAACAATGAAAATATTTAATTTCTTAATTTTATGTTTTCTAATACACAAAGTCATTTGCTTTTGACAGAGTGAAGCCATTGTGATAAATCGCTGTGCACTGGTTTAATATTACCCAGATCTAGAGAAATGGAGACAGCTGGAGCAACTAAGAAACAGAAGAGAAAGCGATGAAACTCGGGAGAGAACGTGTGATCGAGATCAGACGGTGCAGTGGAAGTTACATAACTACAGCGGAGACAGAACAAGAGAGAGAAAATGAAAACCATATATCAGATATGACATAAGAACACAAGCAAGGCATTAGATCATAAACACCACACTTTAATGACATCTGCAGCCAAATGCTGTTTACGTGGTGAGGTTGGTGCAGAGAGAGAGTTCACCCCAAAAAATGGCATTATTTACTCATTTACTCTTACACTACCAAATTTTGCTATATGTTTGATTGCATCATAATAATTGCTTTTAATAGTGTTCACCGTCTGTTTGATTACATCTTTAATTGATTTTTCCGTACATTAACTGAAAGTCACCACTGATAAGCTACGACTAAATATTGTAGAAACCTAATTTGCTGTAAAGTTGCTTTGCAACGATTTGTATCGTGAAAAGCGCTATACAAATAAACTTGAATTGAATTGAATTGAATTAAATCATGTTGTTTCAAACCCATATGACAGTCTTTTTTTCTGTGAAACACAAAAGGATTTTTGAACATTTTAGATATAATGAAAGCGCATGAGGACTGGTAATGTCAAGCTTCAAGCATGAAAATTGTCATTCTTTACTGAAAATTTAGATACTTGCCTTTGCTCTCCTTGGTGCATTCATGATTGTTCAAGAAAGATATGATTTGTAAACAAATCATTCTTTTAAGACAGTTCTTGTTGGTAAATTATTGATTACGTTTACAGAACTGGTTGCCACGATTTGTTCACAAATTGAACTGATTGGAGAAGATTTTTTGTGAAAATTTTTGTAATACTTGTAGGACACTTCTATGGTGCTTTTATGTCTTTTTGAAGCTTTAGTCCTGTTATATTGTAATTGTACGTCAAACGGAATCCAACAAATTTTCCTTTTCTTCTTTCAGGTTATAGAAAAAAAGAGTCATAAGGGATTGTAAAGGCAAGAGAGTGAGTAAATCATGACAAAAACATTTAATTACTGGCGAACATTACACAGCCGTTCTAAATACTCTGGAGAGAAAACTCAAAGCTTGGTGATACTGCAGCATGCCAAAAATAGTCACATTTCAGATGCTGTACACTAAAATATCTGCTGAGCTGCTTTTTCCCCCCTTACTCTCATGTGCAGTTGTGCACATATTTCTTTCTTTCAATCTGTACAAATTAATAAATAAATAAAAAGATATTTTGCCTTTATTGTGATAGGACAAGATCAGAGCTTACGGGAAACAAAGTGGGAGAGAGTGAGGGGGCAGGATCGAGAAAGGTCCTCGAGTCGGGATTCGAACACGGGACGCCTGGAGCACAACAGCGCTGTATGTCGGCACACTGCCCACAAGGCTATTGGTGCCGACAAATAAAAAGATTTTTAATTTTTTTTTTTTTTTTTTTACACTACTGTTTATAACACTACTGTTTGAAGTTTTGGGGTCAGTATTTTTATTTTTTCAAAAGAAATTAATATTTTTATTTAGCAAGGATGCATTTAATTGATCAAAAGTAAAAAGACAATTATAATGTTACCAAAGATTTCTATTTCAAATAAATGCTGTTCGTTTGAACTTTCTATTTAACAAAACATCATGAAAAAATGTATTATAGTTTTCACATAAACATTGCAGCACATCTGTGAACTGTTTTCAACATTGATAATAATAAGACATGTTTTTATATGACCACATGATACTGAAGACTGGAGTAATGATGCTGAAATTCAGCTTTGAATAACAGGAATAAATGCCATTTTAAAATATATAAAGATAGAAAACAGTTATTTTAAATTGTAAT